TGGTTTGAAGAGACAATAAACTGACAATTTGCTACCATGTTCAAATTAGTGCCTAAAATTGTACCCAAATACACAAAATACAAGTAGTAGCGTAGCTGATGTAAACATTGCCTTTTTCTCAATTGGACCTTGATGACATTGGCATTACTAAGGGCTAGAGTTTTGTTTTCTTTTGGAGACACAAAAAGAGGACAGTGAGCCCTAGTTCTTCAGGGGCCCTACATGTGCCAAGTAGCACAAAGTTATTTCCCCTAAGTGTTCATGTCTAGACAATGACTGTTTTCTTTAACTCCTTCCAGCATCACCTGCCATTTTCTCAGTAACTCATTCCACAAGAATTTAGGCACTGTACTAGATACCAGGAATCTGACTGTAAATAAGACACCTTGCCATTGAGAAGGTTGCAGAAAAGTAAAGATATAAACAAGTAAATAAGCATATTAACAATATGGTAAATGCCACAATGTAGGTAGGTAGGAATACACACACACACACATATACACAAATTCCTTCATTCACATAAACACACAGAATTCCTTCTACCCCATGAAGGTGAGCTTCCAAAAATGTCTTTTTAAAGTTATGACTCTTTAAAAGTTTTGAAACAGAGACTTGGAAAAAGATTAAAACCCACTAATTTTGTAATTTTTGTAGAGTATGGTGGGGTGTACATGTGTGTGCATGTTTGTGTGTGTATAAATATGAGTTTTGTGTGGAGTCAACTTTATATAGCATTGTATTTAAGAATAAAATATTCTGAACTGATGCTTTAAGTAGTCAGATTAAATTTAATACCCATAAGATTTGTCACTAATTCTAACACCAGGTTCTAGTTCACAATGTCTTAAAAATAACATTCACTGACATATCCCAATAATATGTAAAAAGCCAGGATCAACCTGTTTGAGAAAACAGAGACTAAGAGTCCGTGTGATTTAAATTTATAAAATCATGATAAATACTCCAAGAGCAGAATTGCTTTTCAAATCCTGTTCATTCAAAGTATTCCTTTAATTGGTTAATGGTAGGAATTTGGTCTGCCCTTCCTTTTGGCTTTTAGCACAGGCCCTAGTGTCAGGCTGCCTCGATTCGAAATTAAGTTTTTGGCAGGACTTGGTGGCTCAGCCTGTAATCCCAGCGCTTTAGGAGGCTGAGGTGAGGGGATTACCTGAGTCTGTGGGTTCAAGACCTTCCTGGGCAGGTGAGATCTCATCTCTACAATAAATAAAAAAATCAGCCGGGCGTGGTAGCGCATGTCTGTAATTCTGGCTACGTGGAAGGCTGAGGCGGAAAGATCGCCGGAGCCCAGCAGGTCGAGGCTGTGGTTGCCAGGAGCAGCCACTGCACTCCAGTCTGGACGACTGAGTGAGACTCCAACTCAAAAAAAACAAAAGAAAGAAATTAAGTTTTTCCCTTTATAAGTTCTGTGACTTCTCCAAGCCTCCATTTTCTTATCTAGAAGATGGAGATAGTAACTGTAACTACCCTTCTTTAAGAACCTAACATTGTTGCGATATTCATTCATTTCATTTACTTGAGAGTTGAAGTTGAGAGTGTATACATAATTGGGCAGGGTAGGGAAGGCAACAGTGATTCAGGTCCTACAAACAGGAGTTGAGATGGACTTGAAGTTTCAGACCATGGCCCTAGAATTCTGAATATTTTTCTTATTAAGTTTAAAAGACTTGGATACACAAGTAAGGCTACAATGAATATATAATCAGAGCTCATTGGTCTTACAGAAACAGGGAACTGATGGGCCCTTGGGAATCCAGGCACAATGTTTCCATTTCCTCAAGATTCATAGTTGCCATTTTAGCACATCTTTGAAGTTTCTTTCACTTGTTCAGAAAAGGGAAAGTATTCCTCGTAGATTTCTAATTTCTAATGGTTGCTCATATTCACAAGAAAGTTTCTTTTTTTCTTATTTCATCTTGGGTTTATGTGATATATGCAAGAATACAGAGTAGGGAGGAAAGAGGAGGGACCATGAGGACATACTCTAGAGGAAAGACCAGTCTATCCCATGCTTTCATGAAGCTTAGATCCCAGGGCACTTTCACTGCGAGGAACCTATGTTCTCCTTTGGGCTGAGAATAAAAATGCCAAATGTCCCTACCTTTTCAAAGCTATTCCCTGAAAGGCTTTACTTGGGGCATCAAGAGCCAGGAATTTCCAAAGTGGAAACATATCTTAAGAGAAGGCACTGAGCAAGCAATGCTAGGAGAGGAGAGAAGATGTCAACAACAGAAAGTCTGGGGGACCAAAACTGGATCAGTCAGAAAACACAAAGAAAAGAATTTAGAAAAGGAGAATTGCAGAATATCCTGAACAACTGCCCAATTTTTCACTGAGATATTGATTCTAGCCAAGTCAGTTCAATCCACATTTCTCTGTCCATTTCTTTTATCATGGCACCATTTTGTCATGATAGCAATGGATTTTTGAAAGGCCCATTATTTTTTGTCCAGATATATATGTTGTGTGTTTCTAAATTTCTTTGGGCTTGACTTGGAGATACCACCAAAGCCCTTAATATCTTACTCTTACCTACTTTGCCATTTAGATAGACAGATGAGAGAACAAATCTTTCTCTCTGTTCTTCTACAAATAATAAATAATTTTATGAGATAGTTTCTAGAGTCTGACACAACAGCAAATGGTCAAAACCTGAACTGGCTTGAATGCAAAAGAAACCACCTTTGTAAAAAGGCAAATGCCAACCTCCCACCTTTCTCTATTTAGTACAAATGGCTAAGGCCTGGCCTGCAGAGTCACTTCTCAACATTCACTCTGTAAAGGACCAAAAGCTCTTTGAACATGTAGGCAACTCCTAAGCTCAGATGTTCAAAAGCCAAGAATCAGCTGAGGTAGCAATGTAACATTCCAGTCACTTATCATCACATGGCAACATCATAACCTAGGTAGGAACACTGCTCCTCCATGAGTTAGATAACCATTAAGAGAGGGTTACAATGTGTCCCAGCCATTAAGAGAGGGTTACCATCTGTCCTAAATAGGTGAATATAAAAATAACTAGGTATTCCTAAAGCAATTCTCTTACCAAAAAAAAAAAAAAAAACCAAAAAATTTATTAATGCATTTTCTGCCAGCATTTTTAATAGCAATCTAGGTCATTCAGATTGCAGATAGTTAAAGGACTACACTCTGAGAAGCACTAGTGTGTAGACAAATCCTCTCTCAATCAACAAATTGATCAAGCAGTGATTCCCAGGAAGTGAGTCTAGTACCAGGATGACTATTAAAAATATGGAAACCAGGCTGGGCGTGATGGCTCATGCCTATAATCCCAGCACTTTGGGAGGCCAAGGTGAGAGGATTGCCTGAGCCCACAAGTTTGAGACCAGTCTGGGCAACTTGGCGAGACCTCATCTCTACAATAAATCAAAAAATTAGCCAGGCTTGGCGGTGCCTGCCTGTAGTTCCAGCTACTTGAAAGGCTGAGGCAGAAGGATTACCTGAGCCCAGTAGATCGAGGCTGCAGGAGCCATGAATGTGCCACTGCACTCCAGCCTGGGCAACAGAGTGAGAATCCAACTCAAAAAAAAAAAAAAAGAATACGAAACCTCAATAAATGAAAATAAGTTAAAATTTAAAAATCCAAAATGAAAAAAGGAATATGGAATACTAGGTGCTACCCCACATTTTCCTGGGGCCCAGGAATCTGCTCATGAGTCTATATATAGTATTTAAAAGTTCTCCGGAGATTCTAATAACACTGCCTGTGGTCAGAAGAAAGGGGTTGACTTTTAGTCGAGCACATCTGTAATGGGTCTGTGTCCCACAATTTTCTGGCACTCTGGCCTTATGTAATATCTTTGGTCTGTAAAAGGCTGTTGTAAGGATTAAATAAAGCAATGAGTGTTAAGAGCACAGCAAGTGGTGACCTGGGTGACATTGTGCGTTCAGTTCTAAGTAAGATATATAGAAGTAAAATGCATGGTTCATGACATTAGGAAGCACATAATCTACTTAGAAAAATAATATAACTATTAATAAAAATGTAAAATATAACTTTATATTCTAAGGCAATAACATGTTTGTATATACACACCAAAAACCCCACATATTATGAATAACACAATATATTGTAAAATACAGAGAAGTATAAGAACATAGGGAAAATTAATAAAATTAAAGTGCTTAATTCTTCTAGTTTAGGTTACCTAATTCTCATTAATTCACCAAATTTTTATTTAGATTATAGAAAAATATAAAAATCATGAGTGACAGCAACTTATTATTTTATTATTCAAAATGAGAGGTGGAAAAAGAGCAGCAGTTTTTATTTTGGCAGAGGTCTGAGGGATATACTTAAAGGGGCCCAAGAACCCCCTTAAATTTTATACTGAATGGTTGTTTATATGAGTGTGGGTATTTCTGGAGAGAGACCTAGAGTTTTTATTTGATTCTCAAAAGGTTTTGTGTCCCCCAACCCCAAGAATGTCAAGGACCAGTGCAGATTCCCATTTAGTACATGTGATGTGCATCCTTATTTATGCTGAAGAAACGTAAATCCTGATTGCATTCCAAATAATTTATTTGTTTGCTTTCTTCTAACCATCCTCTGAATCATTTTCCTCAAGCTTTAAGCAACAAATATCCCAACAAAAGAAGCAACAGTAAGATTTCATTAAAGAAAATTCCACAGCAGAGTTTCATGGCTTCTTTAGCCTATTCGCATTCTGCAGACATCAGCATGGAAGTTTATGTACATGTTTTACAAGTTCCAGGGTAGAGATTAACTGATGACCTCTTTTTTTTTTTTTTAATCCACTGCTCAGTCTTTTGAATTATTTTCTATTAGTTCTATGTCTCTTTTCTTCTCAGGTAGAAAAGTGAAGCAACTTCCCTAGAAGACTACAATTCAATTTTGCCAACTTGCAATTTGTCAAGCTAGCAATTCTTCCATTTATATTTCATTTATAATGTGGTTACAATGCTGTTGATGCTACATATTTTTATTTCTCTTTTTTTAGGTGTGTGTGCAACATTGACTGTTCGCAAACCAACTTCAATCCCCTCTGTGCTTCTGATGGGAAATCTTATGATAATGCATGTCAAATCAAAGAAGCATCATGTCAGAAACAGGAGAAAATTGAAGTCATGTCTTTGGGTCGATGTCAAGGTAATGTTCATACCAAAATTCATTTCAAAGAATGTTTTTAGTCTTTGTGCGAAAATGAAAAGTGAAGATAACTCCTTATTAGGGAGCCATTTCATTTCCAAAAGGCAGTTCTTATTTACAATGGATACGGTGGCATTTGTGTTGATGATAGAAGTTTGAGAGCCTATCAGCAACAGCCCAGATCTTTTTCTGTATAATGGTACTGTATTATCACAGTACTGTAAACACAGAAGCCAACATTCAGAAGGTACCAGACATTCTCTTTGCAAAGGGAAGAAAAGAAAGCCAAAAGCATTTTAGTAAAGAATCAGAGACTGTACTAGATAACCTTGAAATTAAAAGTAAATCACTCTGTTTGTCTATTTATTCAGTAGAAGTATTTTTATTTTTATTTTAAATTGTAGAGACAAGGTCTCGCCAAGTTGCCCGGTCTGGTATTGAACCCGTGGGCTCAGGCAGTCCACTCGCCTCAGCCTCCCAAAGTGCTGGGATTACAGGCTGAGCCACCGAGCCCGGACTTAGAAGTATTTTTAAATGTATTTTAAAGTGAGAAGTACTAAAAGTTCTGTTTTGGTTTTGGTTCAGAGACAAACTGTGTCTTGATTTTTTATTTCTTATTCCTTTACCAAACTTTGCTCTGCTGTAATTATGAATCTTCTCCTTGTCCCACACTTTAGAAAACTGTCTTCATTCTATTATTTGCACTCATACAGAAATTGACACTGTAAATTTGTGTTTGTATAAAGGTTGCTTAGAACTATAGTTGAAAAATTCCTTAATTATAATGAAGATACTTTTAGAAAACTAATATAGGTTTGACATTAGATATTTCAGAAATGATTAATCTTTATTGTTAATTTTTTAATACAGATAACACAACCACAACTACTAAATCTGAAGATGGGCATTATGCAAGAACAGATTATGCAGGTACACAATATTTTCTTCTACAAAATATGGGAACTTCCATAAGACAGTCCTGGGAAATCATTGTTTACCATTTATCCTAACAAATCTTCTGATATATGCTAATCATCTCTTACTTACTTCAAGCTTTCAGTAGGCAAGAGTAAATTTTTGTTGAAGCAAAGAAGACACTTTTCTTTTGCTGGAGTTAAAGCAATTGTCAAAAATGTCAGTAAGATATAATTAACGTGTTTTGACAGTGCAAATAGTACAAATGACAAAACATTTATCAAATTAATAGGCGTCCATGGAAATTAATGCAGTTTTTGGAAGTATATTGTAGTAAATGTAAATGTTCTTGTTTGGGTTTTCACAAAAGTCAACAATAAAAGAGGTCTTTGAAAAGCTAGAAAAGACAGCTACAAATGGTAACAAAGGCTGCCTTTATTTAGAGGCAAAGTTTAAAAGGTGAGTATAATTGATTTTTTAAAATAATACATTTCTTTAATTTATTTATAAACTAAAATGTGACTTCTCAAACCTGCAAAATTATAAAGCATTTTTATGTAAAAATATAAAATTAATTTCACAATAATAAAATTTTATTTTAGAGCTATCTCCACTCAATATGATTTTCTTAGAGTGAGAAATAATTTATGGGCATACACTTAGAATTTTATCAAATTATTAAATTTCATAGAAATTTTCATTAAAAAATACAAAAATAAAATTATTGAGATTAATAATGATATATGAGGGTTTTTTAAAGCAGAGATTTCCATTTAGATATTAAGCAATTATGACTGGATTAATGGCTAATATTCAATCAAAAAGAAGTGCTTAATGTTTTTCAAAATACGTACTACCATTCGTTCTTTCTGAAATTTCATTTCCTTTAACAATGTTTCTGAAGATATATTTATACACAAAGTAAATGTTTACAAAATTGAAAAAAAATTCAGTATTTTACTTATAGATATTTCAGATCTCTTATGATTTGGAAATCAAAAGCATTCTTATAAAACATTTTCATATTTTATCTTACTGTTTTTAAATATGTAGATCAAACTTTTTTAATGTGCTAGAAGGCTTGGAATTATTATGGACAATGAGACATGGAGAAACATTAGTTCTACTATCATCTAGCCATCCCCATGGCATCTAGAAGAGATTTTTATAGATGTTCCTAGAAAAGAATAGTCCGGTGCTCAGTCAGTGTGGGAAGAGCACAGATAAACAAATAGATCTTTCACACAGAGCTCCTCACAACTATTATATTATGTATTTCTATATATATTATATAATGATTATATACATTATCATTCTAAAATCTTCAGGAAACAATCATGTTTTATTTATTTCAATATTTTACATTTTGCTGTAGAGAATTTTTACTATGCCAAGTACACACAAATGTGAGCTGTATGGTGTAATGGACCTGTCTATTTTCATTGTTCATTCCAGTAATATCAGCCCAGGGGCTAACCCATCCCCAGTCCCACCCTTTCTCCCTACTTCATAATATGTGGAAGTAAATCCTGGATATTGCGTCATTTCATTCATAAATACTTTGGCATGGATCTCAAGAAGATCAGCCTTTTTCTAACAAAAATCACAATACCATATTCACACCTAAAATAATTATGAATAGTTCCTTAAATGCAAAACTGTTATCAGAATTGCATGGCAAATAGCATATTTTTTGAGGTACTAGTGTTCCCAAGAATGCATTTTAGGATATACTGATCCACAGAAATATTATAAAAAGTAACTAAAATATGCAAAATCAAAGTCCGAGGCTAAAAATACATATTTTAAATTTTAAACAAAGTCAAATTTAAATTATATATTTTAATTAAAAACAAAAACTATATCTTGATGGTATTACAAGCCACTGATACTAACTGCACCTAAAATACCTTTATACCTATTGTGCAAATGAAGCATTTGGAAAAATCTTTAATAATGTAACATTCCATGAATATCTTCTCCATTGAACCATCTATCATCATTGGGCTCATAAGAAAATCAAACCTCTCCCTGAGAATTTTGTCCCTGAAGCAAAGAATTATTCAAGTTGCTCAACATCAATGTGCAAATATATGTGCATTTATAAAACTGTACCAGTAAATATCATAATAGAGTTTACTTACTGGTCTCTCGATGTCATTTATATTGCATATTAATAAATTGCCCATTTTCAAAGAGACTTGGAGATTAGATTTTTATTCCAAAAAAAGTATGTTTGAATTTGGGTTCAAATAGATCATCTCTGATATTCAGTGTCATTGTTTTTAACTTACATTATTTTTTATCTTTTCTCTTTATCGGACATGGGAAGAAAAGGGAATGTGTTTTTAAATACAAGTACATGAAAACTCTTCAGTTACTCTGTGTGGTCCACGATCTTCTAATTTTACATCAAGTTCATCTAGTTAAGCCCAAAGATAATCTTTTAAAATAAAAGAAAAATATAGACTGAGCACAGTGACTCAAGCCTGTAATCCTAGCGCCTTGGGAGGCCTAGGCAAGCGGATTGCCTGAGTCCACGGGTTCAAGAACAGCCTGAGCAACTTGGCGAAACCTTGTCTCTACATTAAAAAATTTAAAACAATTTTTTTTTTAAATGAGGCAGAAGGATCGCCTGAGCCCAGCAGGTTGATGTTGGGGTGACCGTGAGCGTGCCACTGTACTCCAGCTTGGACGACGGAGTGAGACTCCAATTCAAAAAAAAAAAGAGAGAAATGAAAATCCAAATTTAAGTCAGGAACAAAGATAATATCAAAGGAAGCTTACAATTCCTAATTAAACATTGATCACATACTTGAAAATTTTCTGGAAGTTCATTTTAGAACTCTTTATCTTCACTACTGCTGTTATTAAAATACAATGTATAGCCCTCATTTTAAATCATTTAAATAATAGCCATGTTTCTCAACATTTGCAAGCTTTCAGTAGTATTTGCATTTTTCTGAATTCGGAGACATAAACTTTGTAAAAATTGAAAGGAGCCAAATGGAGAGTCTGTATGTCATTGTCCCTTAATTTCTATTTCACATGCTAAAAACAGGAAAACAGGAACTGCATGATTCATGTGACTCTTGCTGCTAGAAGTTTGCTGTGTGCTCACCCCCACTCCCCTTGGTAGAGGAGCATTCAGACTCTCCCACCAGAGGGAAGTAAAGATCCTAAAACATTCTCATTTTTTCCTTTTATGTTGTTACTACTATGGATCCAACACCTTTATGGATTGCCCCCCACTTTTTACTTTGAGCCACAAAGCTGTTAATATAAGAACACATGTTTCTGCTTATAAAACTGAGATATTTAAAGAAAGCCTGAATCATAAAGGAAATTTCATTTTTAATATCATTTAAAAGAGGCTCCAGCAAAGACCAACAGGAGTTGAATTCCCCTCCCCCCCAAAAAAGGGGGAGCAAAGCCTTCAACAAGACTAGCAGGTGCAGGAAACTACATGTGGCTAACTTGCTCAGAGATGTAAATTCCATGAGCCTCATAGGCACATCAGTGTGGTCGGCACCAGGAAACCAAAGAATTTGCCAGGTCATCCCTGCCAGTGTTACTTTCTGGTTATATCTGACTTGACTCTGCTCTTGTTTCTTTAATGAGACCCAGTGCATTACTGAGTCTGGAATCAAGGGCTTTGAATCTCTGTGACAAAGCCTAGTGACAGAATCTCTGTTAGATGAGCGAAACAGGCCACATAATGCTATTCTCCCTTCATCAGGCTAAGACTCGGGCTTAGATTTAGAGATGTTTCTTCACCCACAGAAAGGTTCAGAGAACACAATTTTTACAAAACCCGAAAGCTAGGGTTTTCCTGGCTTTCTATTGTGTAAATTGCTAAAATAAACTGTCCTTCTGGAAGTTTTAAAGTAGCAAATGTTTTATGCCTCTTGAAATTTGCAACATTGTATTTAAAAGACAAATATATATTATATATAATATGTCATGTCTTGTAATGAAAATGAAAAACAAAAAGAAGTTCAACTATTTTGGGTTATTTTTAATCTAGTATGTATATTTTCTGATTATATTGCTTTTCTGTCTGAAAGTTTGATCATGCTTCAGAAAACTGGCTTTCTATTTTTCCAGTAAAAATGTACTTAATTTTTTAAGTTGTTAGATTTTTTTAAAGACATGTAGTTAAATTATCTTTTTTAATATCTAGAAAATAAAATGTATTTTATTTTATGACATTCTATACCAGTTTTCAAAAGAGGTTTGCAATGCTTTATAATTAAAATGCATTCAGTGGCATTGTTTAACCAGAAATTGAAAACATAAAAGCAGAACTGTTAAAGAAAACAAGAATACCAGCAACATAGACTGTTACAGTTATTGCATTTACTCCTAAGCTTCTTTGCAACCAATATAAAAAGAGAAATTCTGGTTGAATCAATTCATTCAACAAATATTTACAGAGTCCCTGCTGTATGCAAACTTGTATGCATGTCCTGAGTTTTACAATGGTAAACAACCTAGGTTTCTGCTAAATAAAACTTAGGTTTTTATTGTCTAACAAAAATAGCCACAGACAGAGTTTCTACATGCTCAATTATAAAGGGAATATTTAGCATAGATCTGTCTACAAGGCATCTCTGGAAAACACAGAATAAGTAAAATCTTCAACAGCGCTTTTTATAAAACATGCCAAGGGGCTCTTTGTATGGCTGGGAATTTTTAAATCAATTTTTGACAGCATTCTAGAGTATAGCATTAAAATATGTATAACTCAAGGATAGTGTTTCCTGGGGCAGACTAAAGTAGTGAGTTTCACTTACGTATATTTCCAAATTAGAAAAAACAAACAAAAGAGAATCCCAAGGAAGACACAGTGAGGGACAGCACAGGAATTGTTTCCAACATATATCTATGGGTTAAACAGGAATGAGATTCACTTACGTATATCTCCAAAGTAGAAAAAATAAACAACAGAAAATCCCGAGGAAAATGACAGTGAGGGACAGCATGGGAATTGTTTCTGTCAGATATCTATGTGT